ACGCTGCACATCACAAGATCTTTATTTATATTAAGAACTAGCTGACCCGGCAAACGTTGTTTGCCATGTACCTACATTATTTCTAGGAAACATTTTTTAGTTCAATTAAAATAACTATCTACTATAATAAAAAAATAGGGGTTGATCGTAGAGGGGTGAAAATTTAGGGTTGTATGTATTTTTGAATGACACATTATAAAAAAATTAAAATTTGGTCCAAAAAATATAAATAAAATGTTAGACGTGGACAACCCTTATATCTTAGGGGTATGAAAAATAGATGCCACTGAATATGCATATAAAATTTTATAAAAATCGGTTGAGCCGTTTCGGAGGAGTCTGGTAACTAACATTGTGACACGAGAATTTTATATATAAGATAATAATAACACTTGCACTGACAGTTATTGAATATGAATTAATGGTAAAAATTAATCGATATCTAATCGATAATTATAAATCTACCGTTAAAATTTATGGACGACTTAGTTTACGTTTGTTAAATTGTCAAAAGGATATTAAATAAATGTTAACTATATTTACTTGCAATTGCTTTTAATCTTAAATCTTAATATATATATTTCTTCTGTGCGTGTGTATGTGACTGAACTCCTCTCAAACGACTGGACCGATTTTGATGAAATTTTTTGTGTGTGTTCAAGGGGATCTGGGAATGGTTTAGATTCACAAATCAGCCCGGCAGATGGCACTGCAGTCGGTACTTTCATACTTTGCTTAATATCCTAATCGCTTTAAATATCATGCAGGACAACGTCTGTGGGGTCCACTAGTACTCTTATAGATTAATATTTATAACGCCTCTATCTTTTCCTATTTTATATACATTATGTTAGGACTGGCTGACCTACTATTCTATATGAAGAAAATGATATATATATAGCGTATAATAAATAGTAGAAAAACAATAAAGCATCAACAATATTTGGAAGATTGGCAGTTGTCCAAAAATAGGAGCCTAAATGCAAACATTTTCCGCGAATCTTGACTTATTCTCAAGACTTTTCCGATATTAAAAAATGTCAAAGGCTTAAGGAAAATTTATTATACTTGACATGTAATATCATTTACCTATTTTAAACAATATCTAATTAATCGTGTTCGTATTTAATGCGTTACTACTGATCTATAAATTAACACATATAATCATAATTATTATTAAACATACACACAAAATCTAAACTTATTAAACTTAAAAGTACATAACTTATAAATGAACAACGTTAAATAAGTTATTACTACAAAACGTTTTGCATTCCCAACGCCAAAACGAAGGATGTATTTGGACAACGCCTTTGCATTTAGGGCCCCTTCCTTTATAACAAAATCTCCATCTTGGACCGGCGTAAAACTATCCAGATATAAATTAGCAAGTCACATAGAAACTACACTGCCAAATTGGTTCGAACCACAGAGGCATTACTACATATCTTGGTATGACTTTGAGGTTTCATAAACACAGACCGTGCCGATCATAACACTTTCAGCTACATTCTCAAATACATGCCAAACTCACCTATTCACACACTCACTCATTCACTCATACGTAACACAAATTTATAACTATTATTGGTATTTTTATTTTTATTATCATTTTTCATATCACATTTTTAAACTAATTTTAACATGTACCACGAAACAATTGTTTTCTAGTTACCCACAACACAGGGCCCCTAGTGGACAACGATTTATGATTTCTGTCACAAACCTTTCTGTCACAAAAAGTTTTTATTATTATTATTATTACAAAAGCGGCCATAAGAAGCACTTCAAGAGTTTTGGCAATTTTGCCAGAACCATTATTTTTATTACAATTTTTTATTTAATTACCCAATAAATTACCCATAAAATTAATTAACACAATATTGAAATTATCACTTGACTATAGGTCCAGCAGGGTCTACAAGATTTGTCTAAATTTTTTAATGCTGTAGGCACAATGTATTCTGTTCCTAAACTATTTAATCTCTACAGCGGTGATGTGGTAAACATGGCATCGTGCGAAACAAATTGGTAGTTACAGAGTACTGACGCAGGCACTGTTTGGTACGGGGCTCAGTTCAAAGTAAACTGAAAAGTTAAAATAAGATGACATCTCCCAACAACAATATTGATGAGGCAGCACATCTGACCTACTAATTTTTAAAATAATTAAACGAAGATGCATATAAAGGGTTATATACAAGGTTTATTCTAATGCATTATATAACATTTATAGATACATATGTATATTTCTTTAAATAACCAATCATGTAGTTTCTTCGTGTAATAATATATACATACCAAAGTGGTCAATTAAAGTACCTTTAATGGTTGATTAAATATTTTAATTGTATGTTTATAGAACTGCTACAAAATTTTATGACCGATTAACCAACATCAAATTAAAGGAAACATAGGAAAGATTTTATTTAGCATTTAATTACATTTCTAGTGAAGTTTTCCCCGTTACTCATAAAAACTAAATCAGACTTAATTGAGATGGCACTCTTTTTAGTACTGTTACGTCTCTTTGTCAAATATTTTTAACGTTGTTATGAAAAGTGTGCCATTTGCTTGATATTTTTATTATATTTATAGGGTTTTACATATTTATTTAACGGGTTAACTCTTAATTGAAGATTTCGAATACGGCTGTTGGCTTTGATAAATGACAGAACTTGGATATATGAAATAAAACAACGTAGCACAAGAATTCAACCGAATACGTACAGTTTCAATAGTTTGTTAGAGTTATTGCTTTTGTCTCTGCAGGAAGTTGGCAACGCAGCGCAAAGTTTAGTTATAGTAGCTGCCAAAGTGGTACAATAAGATAAATTAAATAATTAAGCTTTTAAATCGTTTGACATACTGTACTTTTGATATTTTACTGACATGTTTGTTTTCTCAAAACCCCTTAACCCGAGTTCAGGCAAGGAGCTACTGTTCTATGTCGACAGTCGATAGTCGTATATTAAAACAAGTAGGCCTGGCCTACTGTGCGTATTGACCTGAAACAATAGTTGTACGGGCATGGTGACTTAGCTACTTAGCACATGGTATAATCAAGAAGACTAGAACTCGATTCATAGTGATTTCGAATTGATAGGCAAAGGCAAATTATAACCAGACGCGGTAATGTCAGCCCCATGCTTATAGGGGAAATGAGACTTCAAGTAAAGTTAATAATAAATAAACTGTGTAAGGAGAAAAACACATGCATCGACATATGTGTAAACTACACTCGGAATAACATTACAGCAATCATTGGATTTATTTGAGGGGTTTACGTAAATCCCCTGAAAATCCCTGAAATATTCAAAATGGCCGCGTTTATGCCAATTAACGTATAGCCTACAATTTTGCTTCTCTGAATATATTTTTTCGAGATAATGTAATAAGCAAGCTTTTGTGTTAATGACGTCATTGTAAATGAATTTCAATAATACTTAAATTCTGTTGGGTTCGCGGAAAAACTTAATGTGGCTTAGAAAGGTGTATCAACCTATGGGTCTGCACTTATTCCTTACAGTGCAAAGTGTGTTTAAATATGTAAATTAAGGTGCAAATCTGTTGGTTGACCATTATATTAAATAAATAAATCGATTACAAGAGTACTATACATTTAAATAAATTTTCTTTAGCCAGTCTTACGCGTACCACAACTGCTTAAAGCACTCGAAGCGAGTTATGTAAATAACATAATAAATCCATCTTTGAGAAGTTTTCTTCAATTATAATAACAATTTTAGTATTATTAATGACTTTGTGATGACGACATTATAGACGATTTTTTAATGAAATTGTATTTAAATGATAATAATTATTAACGATTGTTTTATTTCACGCTTTCCAGTGGCCTTGAAGTGTAAGTATTTAGAAATAAGTAGACTTTTCGATGTCTTAGATTACTTGTACTATCATTTAATTAAATGAGTCGATACTATCGTATTGCGATTGCGATATCAGATATCTAATCGGTAATGGAATCTCTCTAAGCACTATTTATTTGGAACCAAGTAAATAACGGTAAACAGTAGAAGCTTTTCTAATTTAATGTGATTTATGTATATTGGAGATTATTTATTTCTCCTTAAGAAAACAATTGGAGGCCTTACGGCTACTTAATTATCTTTTCCAAGTAACCTTTATAATGAGCTTAAAAATAAAAGGGAAGTGAAAAAATCGTAAAATGTAATGATGTAGCATAAAATTCAGTCATTTCAATACAAGGCTTTAGATACAACCATAACAGGGTAAAATAGAGTGAAAGAATGATAGCTATATTACTTTTTATTTGTTGATAAAGACACACACGACAAAATAGTCAGAGATACAGAAGCTTACAAAAATGCAAATTATAATTAATAATACCGAGAAGACTTTTTAGAAGAAAAAAATGGATAATCCATACTCAGTCATTAATTTAGAGTTAAAAGTTGCTTAAATTATCGAGTAGAGATTTAAATAAAATACAATACATAGTACCACCAAACCTTGTTTGATTATATCTTAAATGAAATACTCATTGAGACCGTTTAATCCATTTCCGTAATTGGAAAAGTTATCTTTATGTAAGCATTTTTATCTTCAGACTATCCCGCTATTGTTTCCGCAACATTGTTTTAAACTTTAAGTAATTTATATTACGAACTAGTGGCTAATTGGGTAGAGGGTACTGTCGGGATAAATGACTAAGTTAGTGGAAAGCTCTTACCATCTCTGTTAAAAGTTAAAATGCCCTAAGTAAATTTGAGCAGAATATATCCTTTGTCTATAACTATGTGTTGTATGCAAATAGTAGAAGAAAAGTTACTTAATGCTCTTCAGAGATAGAGAGAGAAAGAGAGAAAATATACATTTCAATGTATAAAATAGTTCAATTTCTATTTAGGTTTTATTGAGCAGTTTTGTCATATGTTATATTGCTTTTAATCTTCACAAAAGAACAAATGCCGAATACTTGGTAACCAAATCGAAGTTCATTTTTATCAACCAATCTTATGATTTCAGATACAGACAACCAGCGCGTGATCATTCACGTAAAGGACGTGAACGATGAGCCTCCATACTTCATCAACCGACCGCTGCCAATGCAGACTGTGGTCCAACTCAATGCGGCCCCCAACACACCAGTCTTTACTCTTCAAGCGAGGGATCCTGATACAGATCACAACATCCACTACTTCATAGTCAGAGATAGAACTGGAGGGAGGTTCGAGGTTGATGAGCGGTCGGGTGTCGTCCGTACGAGGGGAACTGATCCATTTCAACTAGACATGGAGTATGTGCTGTATGTGAAAGCGGAAGATCAGGTAATCTGTTACACTTTATTCGTGTAAAAATATAGTGTGAAGAATATGAATATGGTTTGCTGGAATTGGTACTACCACGAATGTACCTACGCTATAAATGCCCCAGGTTGTCGCTTTATACTTGCGTTTACACTAACATAGCTTATCTTCAATTCTTGTTCATCTATTACATAGTTTTTAGTGCCTCTTGAGGTTTCATATATGATTAAAATTCATGTCGTTAGACATACTTGAATACAATTATTAATGTATTATCCAGAAATCATAAATTTGAAATAAAATACTCTACAAGTCTACAGGCATGGTCACTGGTTTATTCATAGGGCACGCAAAATGTTGGTACAGTTGTACAACTTTAATTCTTCAAAAAAATATTTGTTTTTTTTTTAAAAATGCTAAAATTTCTGCTTTTGATCCGGTAAAAGTGATTTCATATCAACTTTTTTAACTATTGTACTGGTGTGGTGATAACATATTTTAAATATTAGTAAATAAATATACATTTTATTTAATTAATACAAATTATTTGTATTAAGTTACGCTGTTAAGAGAGTTCGATGACTGAACATTTGCCAGAATAAATAAAATTTCTTAGATTGAAATAAAATAATTTCAGTCTGGAAAGTTTTGTAGATGTATATTTCATGAGCTTGTTCATCGTTAAAAATGTTGAAATAACTTTTTAGCCTGATAATTTAAAGCGAAAAAAAAACAAAAGAAGCTGTTTTTATTATCACTTTTTATCGACGACAAGTTGTATGTGCCTCGGCAATGTTATTGTTTTCCCAATAACCGCTAAAACATAATTCATTTTATGCAATTTTCAGAGTGGTCGTGTAGATGAAAGGCGGTTCCAGTCAGAGGAAAGCGAGCCCCACAATTCTAGTTGCCCAGTTATGAAGCGGAAATTGCGGAAAATCAGAAAAAAGATTCAGAGTAAGACGTTATTAATTATATTAAACTATACTTTTAACCTTGCAAAAAATTAAGTTACAAGCCTAACTCATAATTCATAACACTGAAAATGTTTAGAAAATGAAAAACGGCTAAATGTAAAAATTTTCCTACTTTTATTGTTTTCTCGAAGTAATCTCCGTTCCTCTCTACACATCGTCGATGGAACCACTGAGAAAAGCAGTGGGCCCATTCTTCCTTAGGGGTCTCTTCTATGGCATTTTCGTACACTTTCACCTCATCTTCAGGGCTCGTAAACACCAATCCATGCGAAGTTGTTTCTGGTCGTCTGTTACAGTATGGGGAATCCATCTGGTACAAAGCTTCCTGACGCCTAAATGTTAGTGTAATATTTTTTGAACTTGACTCATACCAATGCCTAGGCTTGCTCGTTTCTGCTAGTAGGTCACTCGCTTATCTTCCTCTATCATGCGTCGCACAGCCCTCATGTCATCTTCAGTAGTAGTAGAGAAAGCTACGTCCATGCTTAGCCTCGTTAAACCAACACAAGATGAGGCTTCATTAAGAAATGCTAATCGCAGCCTATTACAGCTTTGTTGTTGAGTAAGCCCACAACGAAAATCATAATAAATAATTGACCGAAAATTTTCTCGCGGCAGGTTCATTTTCACGTGTTACAAGAGTTTTAGATTGGCCGCTAATTCACAAAAACAAATGACAAATGAATGCAATACTACATTCGGTTACCAAAGAGTTCTAAAATTGAAATTCAAAAAAAGTTTTCATTAGCAATGTTTCTAACTGGCCAATTCTAAACATTATCAGTGTTACCCACGTAGTTGTGTGTGTAGTGTACCATGTATCGGAGTGTACCATATCATTTTACTGGTCAAATGTATACTAGATACATACTTCAAGCTTAAACTGGGAGTACACTACACTTTATTAAAGAGCTAAGCCGTGGGCAACATAAAATCCGTTATAATTTTAAAATGTTCAGTATTCTATCCAATAAACTAGTAGATGGACGAATAATCAAAAAGTATTCGTCTATTATAAACATAAACGAATTAGTTTTCACGTTTTGTTTACTAATTTAAATGCACGTCTTCTCACCATGCTTAAAATATCATCATATAATTTCAGTATAATTTCGGTGAAAGCGAAGTCATTTGCTGACCGTGAAATCCGTTACACGCTGAAGGCTCAGGGGCAAGGAGCAGGAACATTCAACATTGGCCCTTCATCTGGTATCGTGAAGCTCGCTAAAGAATTAGATTTCGAAGACCTGAGACAACCGCACGTGTACTCTCTAGTGGTCACCGCGACAGAAGATTCTGGAGGATTTTCCACGTCTGTTGATGTAAGTTAATTTAAATAAAGCTAAGATTTATAAACATAAAAACGGACCGTTAGAGTTTTTTTTGCGATACAACTAATGCCATCTAGGAGGGATTGCATGACTTATAAATGAGTTCGTCGTGTTGAAATAGTTTATTGACACTACACTAGATGGCGCTTAAGGAATTCTTACTCTTGTTTCAAATAATAATAATAATCCAGTGGCGCTACAACCCTAAATGGATCTTAGATTGTATCTATTTCTTTGATAATTTTTATTTCATAGACAAGATCGGCCTTCTATCCGACATATGCCGTCGATTTTGTATATTTGAGTCATGCGGATTTCCTCGCGAATCAGGATGTTTTACTTCACCGTACAAGCGAAAGTTATATGTGCACAGTAGACAAAACGTTCATTGGTGCACGGCCGGGGATCGAACTTACGACCTCATGGATGAGAGTCGCAAGCAACTCGGACAACACTATTCAAACATAATTAATAATTAATTAAATAATAGTTGTTGCACTTGAGCAGATTCTTTAGAACTGTGAGTGTACAGTTTATCATTTTGCTTATTGTAGTGTTCTACAATCATGATTTTTCATCGGTAAAGAGGATATTTCTGTGCTTTTCACCAGCGTATCGCGACACAAGGCGTTTTGATGTATCCTCTCTCTTTAATTGTAAATATTGATTTAGGGGATGTCCTGTATATCGACGATAAGCACCGAGCTTCAGGTCTTGTTTTATAATACGCGACACAGTTCTTCATTTCTCGCGATAAGTTTGTTTGCTTCCTAATGGGGTTTCGACGAATTCTGGCTTTAACAGCATTGTACGGTTCCTGGGTCATCAGGGGTTCGAAATAATAGAAGATATTTGACTTACTCTGTATTTATCACTCGCGTAACACAATAGAATATGAGCGAAATAATGAAGTGTTATTGCTATATAACGAATGAGTGCAATTTAACAATCAGAGAGAGTGCCGACGTCTGGCTATGCTCTCGGGGTGAAACTCCTATGATTTAGTTAATTGTAATGAAACGAATGACTGCAAAGTAACAGTCGAAGAGAGTGTCTGTCGGGCATGCCTCGGGGCGTGACTCCGACGATTTAGGAAATCGTCATGCTTATAAGTGATCAATCTGTACAGCCAGGGCACGTACATACATAGGATATAGTTATGCTTGTAGATGATCGGAAAGTACGAGCCTCGGCACGTACATAGGGAATCATTTCGATTATAAAACTAAGGAAGCCTGAGCGAGCAAAATGTACAGCCTTGGCTCGTACAAGCATTAACAGCCTTTGTAGTTCTAACAGCACGCGGTCGCCCCGATCTTTTCTGGTCTTCGACAGATGAAGTGTTGTTGTATCTCTTGATAGTACGATATATGAACATACGGCAGATACCAAGCTTTGGATGTGTCTGGAATTTGACCGACAGCTCCATATTCTCTAACACCCCATTCCATATTGTATTGTAATTTGATAATGGACACGAAAATCTATGTGAAAAAGTTTTTATGTAACAGTAAATAAACACTAGTTAGATACTAGGCCAGACTAGTTATAATTCTCAAATTTAATATTTTTGTAATAAATTTATATTTATTTGGTCATAATTTTCCATGTTAATTTCAGTTAACAATACGCGTCTCTGACGTCAACGATAACGCTCCCAAGTTCGAGTTACCAGACTACCAAGCACACAACGTCGATGAAGACATTCCGCTGGGCACAAGCATCCTTAAAGTGAAAGCTATGGACGCTGACTCTGGGAAGAACGCTGAGATTGAATATTTAGTTTCAGGTAACCATGTTACTTATTCTACGTTTAAATAATATATCAGCCCAAAGACGTAACCATTCCTATAAATAAACATCATCATTGTTACGTGTTACTATGTTACATATTTTAAGTTTCTTAGTAGGGCTATACAAATACAATTTATTACAAATTCAATTCAAAACTGAACACTCAAGTTAGACAGACCACCAAGGTGTCACAAATTATTTGTATTATTCACTATATAATATAAAAACACCTTTTTTACCCTAAAATATAGATTTTTTAACCATTTATTTGTATTCTAATTGCTTACTTTATTATTTTCAGATGATCACTTCAGTGTCGATTCTAACGGAATCATCACTAACAACAAGCAGTTGGATGCTGACAATAACAACGCTTACTACGAGTTTGTGGTAACTGCAAAGGATAAGGGAGAACCAGCAAAAACTGGAACTGCTACAGTTAGGGTATATACGAAGAACAAAAACGATGAAGAACCTAAATTTTCTCAACAAGTATATACGCCTAATGTAGATGAAAATGCAGGTCCCAATACTTTGGTCACCACTGTTGTTGCGTCAGATAAAGATGGGGATAATGTTCGCTTTGGTTTCGTCGGAGGTGGCACAAGCTCAGGCCAATTCGTAATTGAAGAAATAACTGGAGTCATACGATTACATAATAAAGCTATATCGTTGGACAGAGATAAGTATGAGCTGAATGTCACAGCTTTAGATGACGGCGCATGTTGCGTTAACGGCGATGCGACCATACACACGTCTACTGCAGTCGTCGTTGTATTTATAACTGATGTAAATGATAACAAGCCGATTTTCAAGGATTGTCCAACGTATTTCCCTAAAGTCGAAGAAGGTGCACCGAATGGTAGTCCTGTGATAAAAGTACACGCCACGGACGAAGATAAAGGAGTTAATGGACAAGTCAAATATTCCATTGTTCAGCAGCCTAATCAAAAGGGTACAAAATTCACGGTTGACGAAGAAACAGGCGAAGTGTCCACGAACAAAGTGTTCGATAGGGAAGGGGATGATGGGAAGTTTGTTTCAGTTACAGTCAAAGCTACAGATCAAGGCGACCCATCGTTGGAAGGAGTCTGTTCTTTCACCGTTGAAATCACCGATGTTAACGATAATCCACCGTTGTTCGATCGACAAGTAAGCACTTGTACATGCATGATAGCTTAGAATTTCACACTTATGCTTTTTGCACTCTGTCCTTTCAACATGCAAGTTGAAAAACTTACACAATATCTTATTGCAGAAATACGTCGAGAACGTAAAACAAGATGCTAGTATAGGCACAAATATCTTAAGAGTATCAGCATCTGACGAAGATGCTGATAATAATGGAGCGATCGTTTATACTTTGAGCGCTCCTTATAATCCGGCTGACATAGAATACTTTGAGATCCAACCTGAATCAGGATGGATAGTCTTAAAGAAACCGTTAGACGTAAGTATGCTCTCTGGTTGAAGTAACGTGTGGATTGTGATAAGAATGATGCGTGAAAGAGTAACTTTACTAATATTTGGTGGATGAGTGCTACCTAAAGCCTTAGGATTCAATTGGCACCTAATTTAAGTTTTTACATGTAAATAGTTCTAAATTGCTGCTGTAAATTGCTGTGGAGAGTAAATCCTGGCTATGAGGAGTAGTTGTCCATTGCGGCCGGCGTCCGGCGCCAGGCGTCCGACGTCCGGCGCGCTTGTTCCTCTTGCAGCACAATTACTTTCATTTGCCGCCAGCGCCGGCTCAGCACTCAATCTTCGTTAAGATTTATTTCGCACCACCATCTTGCATTCAACTTCTTATTGATAAAATACGACTTGTGTATATTACCTATGAATTAACAGCTGTAAATATTTCACCATAAACCTGTGTTTAGTTCTAAAACATGTACAGTTTCTGTATAAGCACTTCTGTATATTTCGCACCGAATAGTTTTGGGATTTATAGTTATTTTTATAATTCAGAAATTATTTAAGAAGCTTACGCTTTTGACATACCTACCATTATTGTATGTATGTACATGTTTTGTTACTAATATCCGACACAGTCGCAACGCTAGAGACAGTTCGAATCTGTCCTATTTTCAACCATCCAATTTATTAATGCTAGACGACGCTCATACCACGTGACCACCACAACTTAATATTCATAATACTAATTTTTTACAGGGTGCGAGTGTATATTTTGATATGTATATAATATGTTATTAATATTAGATATAACTGAGATAGCCAGATCGCCTTCGGGCAATTTGGCCATCTGACCAGTTGTGACATTATTTCTTCTGTGAAAGGGGCAACGTTAACCAATCGAAATTTGTACAGTAAACCGTAACGTCCACCGTTTGTAATATATTCATTACAATGAGTGTCGTTTTGTTGTAGTCGTAACGAGGTCATTAAACTTGTTTATGACAACCTGACCTTTCCGCCATGTCTTGTATGCAGAGCCGCATGCATTGCCTGCTTTTGTTCAGTTCTTTGATTTTTTTAAGATTAGTTTAGTTGATTTATTGTATAAAGTATTATTAATGTACAGTTTGTCTTTATCCCTATTGTACAGACCGGAAATTGTATAATACGGTAAACATTATTTTTCCGATTTATTTTCCTGCACCCTATATTGGCTAAATAAGCATTGTAAGCTAGCACGAACGAGCTCTCAGAGTGGAAGAGGACGTCGCGAGAGGATTTCTACTTGTTAGTGGTTTCTAGTTATTTCTGATATTGTTTTAGTTTGGCTTACTGAGTGGCAGAGTGACGGCTGGATGTTGAATTTAATTATTAATTTCATTAAAAAATGATACAGAGACAAACAATAATAATGAAAGAGGATACTTAATTTTTTTTATTTTGATTGTTTATTAGCAACGATAATTATGTGTTTATATTTGAGTTGTTTTGTTTTGTTTGTCCCCGCTGACCTCTGACCCGTGTATCTGTAGCGGGACAGGTATCGCCTGCGCGTCCGCGCCTCCGACAGAGGGGACCCGCCGTCCTCCGCAGACGTGGACGTTGAATTAGACGTGGTAGACAGGAACAATAAACCTCCCATCTGGGACATGTCCACGTATGGCCCCGTTCACATCAAAGAGAATGTCACAGTGGGTACCGTAGTGACCAGTGTGAAAGCAAGGTTGGTATGAGGCGCAGCGGGCCTCCGGGCCCGCGGCCTTCACTCCTTAACACTACTAACGACGTGGTTTTGTTTCCATCGACTCTTTCCCGATAGCGAGAGACGTACAAGTTGGAGGCTATGGCCCAAGACAAGGGCTTCCCGCCCTTGTCCAGAACCGTGGAGGTCCAGATAGACGTAGTGGATCGCGCAAACAATCCCCCCGTTTGGGACCACACAGTATACGGCCCGATCTACATTCGAGAGAATATGCCCGTCGGTGGCAGAGTGGTGTCCGTTAAAGCAAGGTGCGTGTACACTCGCGGGCACCGCACGCAGCCCTCGCACGCAGGCCGCGCTATTCACTTCTATGGCCTCGGCCGCTGTCGGTACTCATTGTACCACCACAAACGTATCTGACCCAGGGCAAAAACTAAAATTAATCTTAAAAGTAAAACGAATAGGATGATATCGTCAACAAAGCTCCTTTACAAGGTCAAATAAGTTCGTGGTACTATTTACGTGTGACAGTGGAGACGGCCTAGAAGCACGATGTTTGCGCGTGACCTCATGTGTCCGTCATTTGCCTTACACAATTGGTGGTTTGTGAACTGGAATTTTCTAAAAGCATTTTCACGAGCGCCTGATCAGATCTAAATTCTGGTACACCATTGCATTACGGGCTCACCGCTTACGTGGAATGGGGATTGTGCTCAAAAATGCCTTGTTATTTTTTGAAATAGCAAGATATTTTTGAGTATAACTGGTAGGTATTTTAGACATCTGTGTTTAATGTACTATGCATGTAGGCTGAGTTTTTGCATTAATTCAAGTTTCAGTTAAATTGCAATTCAACATAGTTAGTCCAGTCATTTTATTTTGTTTTATTCAACGTTCATTTAAAATCATTTTGTGATGGTAAAGTTAAAGAGTAATAAAAATAACTTCTTAAAATCGTAACTATATCGAGTAAAAATAGTAAATTCTTATTCGCCTTACCTATACGGGAGGAAAATAAAAAAAAATGATATTTCAAATATAAAAACAATATTACATAGGGATCGTCGGCACATTGCATTTTGAAATTGCAAGATATGCGAATAATTTCTTGGCAGTGTGCATTGCATCTATCACATAGTGTCGGTCCATGGTTCACATCTATTGTCTATCTGTTCATCCTAAACCACATTTTCAACTTACATGATTATAAGACAAAACCAATACCTACTAATACACATAATACTAATTTTATTTTTAATAAAATTCGTTTTTATTTAATTTTTAACATAAAATTTTTGAATTACTATTGTTCATTGTAGTATTCACAGCAACTTGAATCGACTGACCGTGATGATTAGTTCTGATCCGAATTAAATAGGATAAACTAATTTTTGTAAAGAATTTTAGTTTAAAAATCACCACATTTTTAATACTTTCGCAGAACAGCTAATAACCAAATGTTGAATAAATTCATAAATAAAAACGAATTTTGTTTTTTAAATAGGTTTTCTTATAGATTTAGGATTCAAGTATAATTTCCATGTTTAAGTATTGAAATGCAAAGGCAAATATGTAATAGATATACATTTAGAAAACATATAACATAATTTACTTAACACATACTACATAATCTTGATGTTGACCTTGCAGTTTAGTAAAACTTTAAACAGAGTAAGAGACAAATATGACTATTCTTTATTGCTCTTAATACTTAATATATATATATATATATATATATATATATATATATATATATATATGGGTTAAAGCACAACTGTTTAACATTCGTTCGAACTGTGAAGGAAAACATAGTGACGAAACCGGCTTGCCTTAGACCCAAAAAGTCGACGACGTGTGTCAGGCACAGGACGCTGATCACCTACTTGCCTATTAGATTAACAAACGACATGAAACATAGAGAAATCTGAGGAAATTTACAAAAAGGTTGTAGCGCCACTGATTTATTAATTTACTTTATATATACATATATCGTGTTATGCGAAGTTAAACAGACATATTGCTAAGTATATATCACAAAAGTATATTATTGAATGGCACTGCATTACCATGAAGTACGACAAAGTCATTATAACAAAGGCGTTAGCAAAGAAAATTTTAGTAGATAACATTATATTCAATTATGGACTGAACTTTCGCGACCGAATTTTCACCTTACTAAATTAGACTTACATTGTTTTAACAAAAGCACTGCTCCGCCTCTTTATCATAGTGAAAGCTTAATCTCTTGAGAAATAATATAATAATAATAATTGGAATACGGTATACAAGTTGGTAAAATAGTCATATAATCCTTACACGCATTAATTGCTGATCCTTAGTTGTGACTAAGAAACGGAATCGTGTGAAACAGGAATCTGAAATCTAAATATATAAAACAAAGTCGTGTTTGTTACACCACTTATAACTCAAGATTGGCTGGACCGATGTTACTTATCTCTTATTTGGTGGATTCTTCTCCACTCCGAATAGCAGAATAAGTTATCGAATAACAATAATTAAATTAATGTTACGAATGAAAACAGCATGTGGTGCCATCTGTTGACAAAACTACGCATCATTTTACGTCGAATTCGTGTCACTTCAAGGAATTCCGATCTTGAGGTGAATGAGGAGATGCATAACCAGGCATGCATCTTGATCTAAGACAAGTGTTACCTCATCAAAAAATGTTGTATATCAGAAAGTGCTTTATCGCAATATTGGCGCTAGAGAGAAGAGGCCTAATGTGTAAAACTGCCATTCTTCTTTCGCAATGTCAAGCAATAAAACATTTCTGTTTTTGCAAAAAAAGTTGTATTAATTTTATTACCTTAATGAAATCCTAAAATAAGTTTAACTAAAAATAACAACGTTATTATTAGACTGTAAGGAAGGACGAAGTTAGTCGGGTCAGCTAGTATATGGTACAAGCGAATGTCTGCTTTAAATCACATTTGCGTTAACAAAGACCTACATATTTGCCTTTGTTTTTCGTAGCGATAGAAGAGATTGCTTCAAATTGAATTGCCGTATGTAAACAGAAAGATACAGGATCAAGAGAATAATTGATTCCTTACAAGTTTTATTTAGATTCAATGTTGTATTGTGTTCTTAGATGTCTCGAAGATAAAGGGGTTTGTCGACTATATTGTGATGTATGTTTTAGCTCCGGCATTGAAAACAACCCAACCGTATTTTACCGGCTGATGCCCGGCTCCACGGCTCAAACGAACAAATTCCACACTTTCTATTTACAACAAAGAGCTGATAATGGATTTACTTGGGCCGATATTAAAGTGAATCATCCCTTGGACTATGAGAGCATTAAGGAATACAATTTGACAATACGAGTCGAGGTAAGGCTTCTTTGAAATCGCGGGCGTGACTCAATACTTTTATGTGATTTCATTCGTCTGTTTCTATTTGTGTAACAAAAATACGTATGCTTAGTGCGATTCTAGTTGCTTAATAACGCTATAATCAAGGCCTTTAAGATCGTAATATACATCGATCTTCATTTATAATTAATTGTTGATGTATCAGTAGTGAAAGGAAAACTAACCATGTACTTGTGGATTGATTAAAATAGTTATATACAAAAAGTTCGTTATATTATAATATTAAAGAGTTGTTCTTGTCATTAGAATAATTTGGGCCTAAGGATTATTTGTATTAAATAATTTATTATATCCAGAACAACGGAGCGCAGCAACTAGCCTCGGAGGCAACAGTATACATTATGCTTGAAGATGTCAACGACGAGATTCCTTTATTCACTGAGCGAGAACAAGAGACGGTGCTTGAAGGGGAACCCATAGGTACCAAGGTCACGCAGGTCAACGCTATTGACAAAGATGGGACTTTCCCTAATAACCAGGTTAGTTTAAATCTATAAGGCTATTTTCATTTATACTGCCGTAATCTTAATTATCTTCTAATATGTCAGAATGACTGATAAAACACTAGTTAATAAATCACTTGGTGTTCGTAAGTATACATCTTTTGATTTAGTGAAGCAATCGGCGCCACCGTGTTGGAACTAATAAATATTAAAAAATATATAATCACCTACTCATGGCCTTAGAATCAAATATTACCTATGTATTAACTATATATTAGCTCGGTCTTTGATCCGTCTTCTGAGACGTACAAGGTCAACAACACTTTTATATTATAGAAAGTTGCTAAAATGATCAAAGGGTAGTCGAGTCGACCTATAATCCCAACTTCTATTGAAATGTTGCGTGTTGAATAAAAAAAAAATAAGGAAATAAATAACTTTCACGAAATTAAGTGCTGATTAGTTAACGACAGATTTAAAAAAAATTAAAAGAAATATTTAATTTTAATTTATAGAAAACGCATTCAGATAGTGAGTAATATAAGTTTATAATTTATTCACATTTCTTAAACTTCAGAGTTTTTAGTTCTTAAAAACTTAAGTTATTTAAAAAATCTCTTATAAAAAGTTAATTTCATTATTCGCGATCACAGGCTATTGATTTGATTTAGAACCAATACACGAAATGGACTCAAAATACCACTACACATCTATCACATACAGACACACACATCGCATATACACATCTTACATAAATAAACTAATAAAGACGTATAAAAAATCAAATCCGAGCTGGATTCGATTTTTTACAAGTTACAGTTAAAAATTAGTACAAACTTTGAAATGAACTCTCGTTGTCGGAAGTGAAATAGTTGATTGAAAACATTAAGTAAAAAGCTTTCAATACACAAGATAAATGTTTTTCTTCGTTACAAATGTAGTTTTCAATTTCAAGCGGTATTCTAAAGCAAACTATAATGATTAATATACCTATATCTGAAACGATTTTTATGTTTGGCTTATAAATTGTGATATCTATCTTTATTCGATTTTAATGTTTGCCTTCATCCTTTCGCTTTTTTTTTATAAAAGTTGTTTAAAGAAATATATATCTTTATTCGATTTTGCATATGTCTAAGCATTGAATGTATAATTTTAATTCCGTACTAAAGCTTATATAGCTGTCACATGTTGGTGTTCGTAATTGGAACTACCTAGAATGCTTATTACATTTAGTGCATTCTAGTGTTTGCTAGATTAATGGGACATAGTTTCCTTTAAGTATGCACTATGCAGGCTATTGTAATAGATTGTCGCTTAAAATAATAAAATTTTACTTAATCTACGTAGAAAAGACTTGTATTTATTTACTAACCAAATACATACATTTACACAAATTTTACCTCATCGATAGTTAGTTAGCTAGTTATCAACAGCCTGTGGGTCAGGTTGTCTTCCTACATAGGCCTCTTCTTTCTGTTTTCACTTATATCTTTTACGTCATTTTAGGTCATCATCTCCATCCTTCCGGCGGATCGTCTTCCCATCTCTTTATTTGACGGCCTCTTTTCCTTCTCCCATCACTGGGATACCATTCAATAGTCTTTCGACCATTAAATTTTATTTTTTTTCCTTTTGTATAATTAAACACTTAGCTAACAATTTTTTTTTTGTGATATATTAAACTTCTGTTTAATCGTTTCAAGAATTAGTTAATTTTAGTTTTATTAAAGTTAATATAATAAGAGAACCTTATACAATTTAATTTAAATACGTAACTTAACAAATAAATCTGTATTTCTTCCTTTGGCTTCTTAGGGTTGCGGCCTTTTTAAATTTTATTTTTACTCTGTAAATCTAAAACCATATTGTTTATACAACTTAACATTTTTTTCCACTATGGGTAGAAATCGAACAGAAAGCCGTTCCCAACGAATGGGTTAATTTTTTAAGTTTATCAACAAACACGACCGAGATAATTATTTTTATAATATGAAAGGATATATGAAAATTAAAACTCAACAGATCCTATATTTCCATGTTATACTTCAACACCTTAATATTATAATCTTCATTTAAAAACGAATATAATCTTTACCAGGTGTATTACTACATTGTGGACTCACCGCGCAACGAAGGCAAGGACTTCTTCGAGATCAGCATGCAGACTGGAGAAATCTTCACGAAAGTGGTGTTTGACAGAGAAAAGCAAGGTGCCTACGCTTTAGAAGTAGAGGCAAGAGATGGAGCCCCCTCAGCGCGACCGAATTCAGAGAACCAGCCGAATTCAGGTGAGTCGAGAGCCAAATCTTTTTATTTAAACGAAAAGAATAGGAAAACATTCATATGTTAATCTAAGTACATTGTTATTTTACGTAACAACCACTTTAAAAAGCATAGTCTAAAAATGCAGTTAACAGTGTACAATAATATTTATTTGAATGGGCCCATATATATGAATTAAATGTATTAAGTAAAGTCTCAATTATTTTTATACAAGAGTCATGAGGAATCACATATTACTAATACAACATAAATTGAAAACTACTTTTAGCAGTTTCATGTGAGTTATAAAGAATAGCATCTATTAATATAATATGTTATGGAAACTAATTTTCTGAAGTAGTCATGAATGGAATGTTGTTTGTGAGTTCTCCTTCGAATAATTCACGTGTATTGTTGCCGTTTACGTATTTGCTACGAGGCCTACGCTAATGCTAGGCACGAGGTAGCATTGTTTGAATTTTCGTTTGACGTGCTTTGCATAAGAATTTTGTCTGGGAACATTTGATAATACACTCATGCAATGAAAGCAAAACAATACTGGTACAAGATTACGTTACATAATTGTGCAACGTACCTCAACACAAAAGACGCGATTACGAGGATTAAAAGACAAATTAAAAGATTTCATCTTGCTAATATCGTATAATAAGCACAATTAGCTTATAATAAAACTGTCTAAAGATTCTTGATGCCCCGAAAGTTAAATTAAAATATATTTATAATCTGAAAGTTTGTGACTGGTAAACCAAAATAAGTGTCAAATTAGCATAAAATCTTCGCAGTCGTGAGGCAAAATATGCGCGAAAGGTTTAATAAAGGTCGAGAGAAGTCAACGTAAAGGAAAAACTTACTTTAAATATATGTATAAATGCCGACAGGAAGGTCTTAGAGTTACAAGCTGTCAGTAGCGCACGGTCCCGGCTTAATCACTTTGCGACCCGCATTCTAATGTACATTTTTTTTCTCTATTCAGCATCGTAAGGTTACCCGCGCTGTCGACTTTCTAAGCATTATTTAATTCTCCACCGACCCTTATCGCCGCAAATGTTGACAGTTAAACGAGAGTGTCATATTTCACAGAATTCTAGTCAATTGGAAATTGATTATATCAGTGCCGGTGACGGTATAAATTGTCCGCTCCAGGCCACGTCCTATTAGAGAGGCGTTCTAGGGTATCGCGTCATCGTAAATCAAGTAGCAGGATAATAAACCGCCGCTGGCATAATCCGACTAAGCTTCTCTTCCTTGTATATGTCTCACAATAGTCTTGAATCAGCTCAGTGCTTAGCACCTTACGATATACGATTTCCTTACATATCATGAATACGGTAAATCTATACGACCCAATAAAACCACATCTAACAGTATTCGATCGTAAAATGCATACCGTTATCTTTGTTTACGGCTGGGAAAACGAACACCGTGTGTTTGTCCACCGTTCCTTGTGTAGACAACAGGTGAAGGAAACAGTTTAAATTAAATTCAAATGCCACTTTATAAGGTTTACTTAAAAATTATAATACAGACAAAAAACTCAGCTGACTATAATTTTGATCATGTTTACAAAAGGATGTTTAGCTTTAAAATTTACTTTTATTTAATGGAAATGAAGTATCTGTGAGGCAGAATCATTTGACACTCTCTTTCACCCTTTTGTCTTAACCATCAAATCATTTGGTTTTTTTACTACATAATTGTTGATTAATAGATAAATTAAACTTGCAATCATTTGACACTCTCTTTCACCCTTTTCTTAACCATTCCTACATATTTCCGTCTTAATCTTCTGTTTTTTTACTACATAATTGTTGATTAATAGATAAATTAAATACTTGTGCAAATCATTTGGCACTCTCTTTCCCTTTTGTCTTAACCATGTTCTACAATAATGCAATATATTCCGTTTATCTTCTGTTTTTTTACTAGATAATTGTTGATTAATAGATAAATTAAATACAGGTGTTGCAGAATCATTTGGCACTCTCTTTCCCTTTTGTCTTAACCATGTTCTACAATAATGCAATATATTCCGTCTTAATCTTCTGTTTTTTTTACTACATAATTGTTGATTAATAGATAAATTAAATACAGATGTGTTGCAGAATCATTTGGCACTCTCTTTCACCTTTTTGTCTTAACCATGTTCTACAATAATGCAATATATTCCGTCTTAATCTTCTGTTTTTTTTACTACATAATTGTTGATTAATAGATAAATTAAATACAGATGTGTTGCAGAATCATTTGACACTCTCTTTCACCTTTTTGTCTTAACCATGTTCTACAATAATGCAATATATTCCTTCGTCTTAATCTCCTTATTGTTTTACTAGACAATTGTTGATCAATATATAAATTGTGTTATAAAATGTATACATATAGATAGAGGTTTATTAGAATGAAATAGTAGAAAAACTTTTTGGCTTGGAATATAGTTAGTTTTTCGTTGGGCCTATAAGCCACGTACCATTTCAGCATATTGCAGCACATTTGTGTCCGGAGCCCGATCGTGCCTGTTTCGCATACTGATTACGTCTGGAGGATAATAGTATGGGAAATAAAACTTCGGACTCGTTTCGAGCTATTAGCTATTTGGGGAAACTGATAAAAGCGGTCGTAAAAGTATTGTTCTTATTCGGAGGAGAGTATATGTTTGCAATTTTTTTCTACTGTGTAATGTAAAGTTATAAAATTAAAATTCATAGACTCCTTCGTGCATTGAACTAATGTCCCAAGCTATTACTTGTCACGCTAAAAGTTTAGGTTTTGACTTTTGAGTGACTTCGTGAATTTTATCAATTGAAGGTTAATGATTCTTATTACATTACTAGCGGACCCGACAGACGTTGTCCTGTCTTAACTATGAATATTGATTTCAAATTGGTATAATTAATTAAAAAATATTTCAGAAACAAAATGTTTATTATTCTAATGCTTTATGTTATACAACATTCTTGGTTTGTTTTTCTGGCTCGCATATTATTATATTATCAATATAATAACTCCGATCGAAGCATTTATTTTAAACGATATTCATTTTTCTTACATCCTCTTTGACGATATTTGCAGCACGCATTCTGTCAATATTATGTCAAACGCCATAAGGTTACATCAAAAAGTTCGCATTGTATGGTGGTTAAGTATTCTTAAATTTTCTAATTTTCCGCGCAATTTTTTTCTTTTTTTCTTTTATAAGAACCTTCTCCTGACAATTGCAAACACAACAAAAAAAAATCAGACAAATCGGTCAAGCCGTTTTCATGTTATGTCGTGACAACGGAAAACGGGTTTCATTTTTATATATATAGATTCTATTCCATGATATTAGTTTTTGTATTTTATCGTTATTATTTCTTATAAAGAAAGCCAATTACATTTAAAAAAATTGTGGCCAGTGTCCGTTTGACCTTTTATTTATCAGTTTAAGTCGCAATAACGTGTTTAAAATATTCACGTAATTTTATTGAATAAAATAATCCGCATACAACAATTACGTTTACCAATTTTTACTTAGCAAACATTATTTAAAATGAAATCTTTTCCCTCTATAAAATAATTAAGAAATGGTTACATTAAGACTGTCTTATAACTGGAAATTGTGAAATTTTATAAGATTGTAAAAAATAATTAATTGCTCAGCTCACTTAAATTAAATATTTTAGAACGTGCTATTTCATTTTAATTTATTACTTACTGTGGCGACTGTGAAATTATTCGCGTTTTTATTTCGTCTTTCGATTCTGTTTTACTTTGGTCTGTTTGTTTACGGCTTACTTAATTGACTGAGCGAGATATACGTTTTATGTTAATTAAAATTTTTATTGCTTTCCTGTTTTTCTTCTACTCTAATGGAGTAATTCAATTTATGTAGCTTATTTCTTAGATGTAAGTCTGTTGTTTGATGGATATATTTTCGAGGAGAGGCCTTGAGGCCATTTTCAAAAGATGTAAATGTTATCTTGTATTCCAAATTTTGTATTAATTAGATGTTAATTTGTGGATTAAAAATTATCTCTTATAATTCACTAATTATCGTCCTTAATATCTAAGCTTCATAGATGATTCTGCTCTCCTAAATTTGAGTTTAGTTATATACAATATGAAAAATAAATTCTGGTTATTAGTTACAAACAATTTCGTTAATCTCACGTAAAGTCTAGATTTACAAAGTTTAATAGTCGTGGGACTAGATCGTATTTCGGTTCATATAATTGACTTTCATAATAGGTTTTGTTTTCTTACCACAAATAGTTTTTTATTATGATCTCGGCCGTCTAGACATTCTCAAATTTTGCTTTATACATTTGATGATGTAATTAAATAGACTACTCTGTGTACCTTGCATGAACCAATAAAATAGTAAATTTTTTTTTTTTTTGGACTACTTTTGCGGGCCTCATAGCCTAGCGGTCTTATTAAATGGCAGCTAGGTGAGGGGTACCGGGTTCGATTCCCGGTTCGAGGGCAAGTTTTAATTTAATTTAAATTTGTTCTCGGCCTTTGGGAGGGTTGTGCGGTACTGGGCGAGTGCCTAAACCGTACATGGAGGACATGATCGAATTTCTAAGACAAAAAGCACGAATGATAAAAATCTCATACTTGACGCTGGCTAATGCACAAACCGTGCCAGAGCCATAAAAAAAAATATTTTTTCTATGAAACAGTTGAATATCGCTCCGTGTGTGTATTCGGCACAACAGAGAAAAACAAACATAGTTTGAATATAATTCTTGTAGTAAACTGTTTCGTTCCAAATGTCAAACATAATCGTTTTGACGTATACGAATACTGGACGAAACTATTGCAAAGACCCCTGAACGTATATCTCGTATTAATAACTCCCTGAGAGAACAGAGCATTGTTCTACAAAATCACGATTGTAAAATGGAGCCGTGTTTCTCCAAGTCGTCTATTTCAAGTATTTCCAATTACTTGGGCTTAGAGAAGCACAATGTCGCCAAGTGACAAAGCAATATTCCCGTGGTCTGCGGGAACTTCGTGGCCTACATTTAACGCAGCGCCCTCGAGAATTTGTGATGAGGACTCGCCCGAGTGCACTGCTGAGGA